TGAATCCATTTCAGAAAGTAATGCCCAGGATACACAATAATCTCGAATACTGAGTAAAGATTTGAAGGCACTCAACAACTTCTACATCTTAAATTTTTAGATTGAGAATTCGTATCTGAGGTAATGATCCTGAAGGTTCTTTTGAACTTTTGAATAGTCAAAATGAACAAAAGCAACAGTCAAAATTTATATATCTTATCTAAAATACATTTATTTTATCTAATTTTTGGCAAATTGGTAATACATTTCATATATGATATAATCTTTCTTCACAAAATAGCTTTTAGAGATTTGAGAGACCACAGAAATTTTAAAACGCTCTAATGGACAAAAAATTATGCAAAGGCACATGCAAAACTCCCCGTTTATATTAATGTGGGAGATTCTATAAAGGGCTAAATTTCAAAATCATCTCTCGTGAAAAACTACTCTCTTCCAGTATCAGTAAAAAGCTGTTTGTAAAAGGACAGGAAGACTCAGAAGAGTTTACAACAAGGAGATCAATAATCATCGCACCAGGGACGGAGGTGTCTTGAGATTTTAATCAAGAAGCGAGGGAGGCAAGAGATAGATGAATTCACACTAAGTTGTTAAAACAAATGGAGACAATGCAAAAGAGAAAACCCTGGAGGGAGGGTCAGCTCATACAGTGGGGCTCATCAAACACTCGGAATGTGGGCTCTACAGGTCCCTGCCTCCCTGACCACCAGGTGGGGACACAGTGATTATTACTGACCTAGTATACCTTGAGTAGTGGTGATGTAGGGGTATTTACTGTTAATAGCCCTGACTTGATATGACATGACTCTGGAATATTCTCACACACACGCACCAGTGTACACCACCTGATAAACAGCAGATGCCCCATGATTATTTGGCCATTTGTTGAATATGTAGTACCAACCCACCCTGAGACACTCCTTCAATACTGACACGTATCAATCCAATCTTTCACCTAACTTTGAGTAAGAACTAGAGAAAAAAAAACTATATAAAATACTATTTGTCTGTGCCCAATGTGACGGTGAATATTCATACTGATCTATGTGAACAGAATTCCTTGAAAACAATGAATGATGTGAGGGCTATGCCTAGAGGTAGTCAAACTGCGGAATTATTGTAGACCATTTGCAGTCTGGAATTAGTCCACTGATGTCAATAACGGAGATGATGTGATGATGTCACTCCCCAATGCTGCGTGGACTTCTGCTACATTTATAGAGTCAATAAGCCACATAGAAAGTTATTAACAGTTTCAGTGATTGTGTCCTTAGTTTATCTGCAAGCCAAGAATAGGTTGGATATTTTGCAGTGCATGATTTGTTAATGAAATTTAACCCATTAGTCATTAGAAGTCAGAAGAAAATAGCTAATCGAGGCTAAAAATAGATAAACAGTACTGACCAACATACACGTGCTTTGTTTTATTTTTATTAGTGTTTTTAAGTACTCTTTTCTTTAAAAACATACCGGCCACCATGGTACATTGCGAACTATAATACCAATCATGCAACAGATAGGAGGATGAGAAAAACTAAACTACTATAAGGGCTTTTATATCCTGTAAAAGGAAAATAATATATTCATAGAAATGGCAATGTATTATAATGAAAAATTAATACAGAATTTAAAGAAATGACTTCAATGATTTAATACCTTTAAAAATGTAATGATGTGATAACCATATTTTTAAGGGCAAGAGTAAAATTCAGGAAAATGATTCTATTTTTTCCTCAAAATTTTTTTTCTAAGTGGAAGAAAAACTGATTGAGTCAAGACAAATTTCAAAGCAAACAAAGAAAAAATGTTGAACACGTACCACTTTGCCCAACTATTTGGCTAAGGAACTATCCTCAACAGGTAGCACTAGATTCTGTAAAAAGACACGTGGCAGGGCCCTTTCAAACATTCTGACCTGAAGCACCTCTGGGAGAGATGTCTCCTTGACTAGAGAGCTGGAAATGCTTTTCTGCCTTCATTCAGCATAATAATAAGCACTAACTTGTGCGGAGTAAAGGGTACCTTAAACACTTCATCTCAAAATATTTTTTCACGTCATAATAATCTCTCATACAATTGGCTCATACTCAGGCCTTTTTTTCCCCCTTAAAATACCATGAAATGTGCTTTTTGAAAGCATGTGTTTTACCCATAATAAATCAAATATCAGCATATTTAATTTAAATTATTTTTATTTTGAAATTTAACTTTGAGCATAACCCATAAAAACATGATTATGTATCATCTGAGTTAAAAATATTATCTTATTTAGAAAAGCTCATTGTTCTGAGTCTATAAAATAAGGTATATGTCTTATTAACTATGAAAACAAAAATACTAATGTTCCAATAATTCCTTTATAATTTTGGGTATCACTACACATTTTTGTTTTTAAGGCACACAATATTTACTTAGTGTTTTACTGTCTTAGGGGACCGACCCATTTAAGTTATTAAGCTTCACAGAATCATGTGCGTAAAGTTTTGTCATTTGAAATCACCCTTCTGAATACCAGAATATAACGGAAAAGTCTCTCTCTGAAGTTCTTAAAATAAATAATATTCACCAAAATAGCAATGTTACTTTATTTAATATTTTGATTTAATATTAAAACAAAGCAAAACTGTTTCCATGCCAAACTCTGCAGTTCATATTTCTCAAGCAGAAATGGAAGACAAAAGCAAGTAATCTGTACATAAACATGCTTTTATTGTTTTCCGTGAAGGCTGCTCTTTACAAAGGCATAGCTCCAGTGAGTATGGAAAGAGATGCTTTTGAAATGAAATAAACATTTGCACACATCTTTAGGGGGAAAGTTGTGTTTAGCATTCCAAAAGGACTTCCAAAGGCTGTAAATGCGATAGTCACCTTAGTAGCATTCAGTGCTCTTTCTTTGGATCCTATCATGTAATTAAATTGCAAATTCAGTTTTAATTGTAGGAAATCCTGGAAAGCTTTGATGGGGGAGGGATCATGTAGACTCCGGGCCAGTGCGCCAGGAAGGGGGTTCCCAGTGCTTTAATCTTTAGTCTGATTTTCATGTACCCGGTGACTGTGGAAGCAGCTACACATCTCCCCTCGGGACTTAGATCATCCGTTCGCTTATAGCGTCTGAGGTGTCAGACCCAACTGACATTTCACTAAGACGTTAGAGAGAATGATGAGCAAGCACCCTGTGTGAGAGCAAAGGGCTTCAAAGGTCAAGTTCCTGAAATGGTTCTCCCCCTAGGCTCTAGCTCTGCACCTCCTGTCTTGGCTGATGGCTATGAGGGTGACAGATTTGAGCACTGCGTCCTGGTCGCGACAAGCCGTCAGCCTCCTGGACAACTGCAGCTTTACACAAGGGTTCTTCCTTATCTCGCTGTAAGGAAAAGAGGCGCATTCTTCTACCCAAGAGCAGCTCTGGAAGCCTGGCTGAGGGTCTGCACGCCACGCCTGCTCTGTCGCCTGGTGGGGCGCGCAGCATCGCATCCTGGCGCCAGGCGGGGGGTGGGGAGCTTTGTTGTCACCCAGGTTTATACTCCCCACTTCTACAGATCAGCTGAAGTTCGAGAACGGGTCCCGTGTGTCCTTGAGGTACAGTCTGTATCTCGAATGTGAAACCCAGCAGAGGCAACAAAAAAGGCAAGGCTGCCACATTCCCTTCCTCCTGCCCCTTACACCTGCGTTCACAGACTCGCGAACAAGCCGCTTCTGGGTGCGTGGTGAGCCTTTCTCTTTTAGGGACTCAGCCCTAGCTTAGTTCAATATTTTAAACGATATATTTAGCACTTATTATTATTTTTTCTTCCTTTCTTTTTTTAAATGAGAAAATTAAGCAAGTTCTCCCTTCTCTTCCTCTCTCCAAGTTGGGAGTATTCATCCATTCAGCAGGGGACGCAGGGAATGTTCTCGTTCAAGGCCGCTTTGCCCCAGGATTTCAGAGCTTCGCAGAACTCCAGCTTTGAGAAGGGCGAAATGGAGAGACATCCAGGGAATCCGGAAAACGGGCACTTTTGCCCCAGATTTTGTTTCCCTTGCGTTCTGAACCGGCCGGCCCAGGTGGATCTCCAGTGCCCATCTCCCATGGCGCGCTCCCCTGGGATCTCCTGCCCGCCTCTCCGACCATCCCCCTATGTCTGCCTGTCTGGGCAGCTCTCCGCCCAAGTGCCCGCCCCTTCTCTCCTGCTCCCCCCGGTCCTCTACGACCGTCATCGCGTCCCTCTTACCTCCGCGTACGGTCACTAGAGAAGTTTTAAACCCTCAGGGGTCTACATTCTCTCCCAAGTCAGGCAAAACATCTTTCAAAACATGAAAAGGTACCCATAAACTTTGCTGTCGCGAGCGCTCCCGTGTCAGCAGCCGTGAGCACACACACCTGTCCGGGCGCACACACGGCCAGGGAGCCGCCAGTGGGCAACTGCTCAGTGGGCAACTGCTCAGGGAGCAATAAACTCGCTGGCAATCGCCCGCAGGAACGTGAGGCGCTGGTAAGGCATCAAAAGAAAATTTCAAAATAGGCTGAGGAAGCAGGGACTAGAAAACGGTGATTCTAAACACACGCGCGCACACACACACACACACACACACACACGAGCACGAGCGTCTGTCCACCTCCTGCACACAGAGCAACCGTGCCCGAAAGGCACACACTTCTGAGAACAGAGCATTGAAGATTGCTCTGAATACAAACCCCCACTCCGGGGCGCATTCATCTCGGAACTGACAATCCCCTTCGTCTAAAGACTTCTCAGTCTGGGTCCAAACCAGCGCCGCGTACTTGAGGACCGGGACCCAGGCGCTCCCGGAGCCCTCAGCCCGGTCTGCGGAGCCCCCAAGGCAGGTGCGAGCCCCCAGCCCGGTGGGGCAACAAGCGGGCTGTCCGCGGGAGAGCCGGGTCCCTCTTCGCTCCCTGTCCCCGCGTGGGTCACCTCTCCCCGCACCCACCCCACCCCCCACCCCCCGCCGCCACCCGCGCCAAACGGGCGCAGGGGAAGGAGAAAGCCGAGCGAGCGACTCACCCCCAGCTTCCTGCTGCGGATTTTCACGTAGCCCTGCTTGACTATGTCGTTAAAGTTGGAGGCCATGGCCAGCGCGTTCGGCTTCCCCGTGTCGAGAGCCGCCGTCCGCCGCGGGGTCCGCGCAGGTCTTGCAT